TTGCCACAACTGGTTGAGACTCAGCAATAGGTCGAGTAGATTCAGAATCATTGTTTTCTTCATTAGCAAGTTTTAATACATGCGTTTTGGATGAAATAAATCCCTCCATCATATCAAAAAATTTCTCATCACAGTTAAGTCTTATCATCAGATTTAGCGCCTTTTTTGATAGTCCATATCCTTTAGACCAACACATTTTTTCACTAACAGATTTCTGTAAAGCAGGAGTAAGTATATTATCTACACGAAAACGTGACAAGTGTCGAAAATCAACCACATGTGAAGTGCTAATAGATGCCGAAGGTTGGTTAGGTTTACATAGTCTAATTGATGGAAGCAAAGCAATATCCTTATCTTCTTCATTAATCTTACTATTCTTATACCATCACCTTGATATTAAGGAAATGTAAAATCCAGCCAGATAAGATTTCATTAAAACTTTTATGAAATGTCAGCAAATGATTCCTTTGCTAACTAAGGTGAGACAGGTGCACAAATATGAACCGTCTGTAAGTATTACAACATGATTGTTAAAGTGGCTAGGAAATAATCCTTGGGGCGTAACAATCCAAATTTGCTCAACATCTTCACGTTGTAAGGTGCGAAGCAACACCTTAAGACTTGTTTGACGCCTTTCATAATCATCTTCAAGACATTCATTCTCAGTAATGTCCTCTGGTTCAAGCGGAAAGTTATCTTAATCAAAAGAAATTTCAGTGGCATTATATAAAAAGCTTTCAGAAAGCTGTATACATTGAAGAGAAAGAATGTGCAGAGTTAAATACTCTTTAAGTAAGGAATCAATGCCCGAAAAATACTGGCTTGCGATATGAGGAAGACCTATAGAAGGGTTCATATTTTTCTGTTCACTTATCCTGGCATATCGTGCTTCTTCATCTAGACGGTTCTGTATAGCATCTATTAAATATAACAAAGTTAAGCTATGCGAAACTTCCCTCTTAATAATGGCATTTATGCCCTCTACTCTCTGGGTACTTTGAATACTAGCGGTAAAGTGAGTTTGAGTATAGCAGACCGCCCAGCTATGACATGTAGGGTAAAGCATTTCTATTGCATATCGATGCACCTTAGGGAATGGTTCAACAAATTCAACAAATCGCATCCAACGATGTTCGAAATCAATTTCAAGCAAACTATTGCGA